TCTAGAGGCAGAAGGAATCTTTAGAGATTACATAGTTTTTCCTCTTTTCTCTACCCCCTGTCGTTTTACAGATAAGGGAACCGAAGCCTAGAGAGTTTAAATAACTTGGCTGAGGGCACAAGGTAGTAAATAACAGAACTGAGAATTAAACCGAGGTGCTCTTACCCCAAATCCAGTGCTCTTTTCACTGTGTACAGCTTTTTTATGCTCATTTCATAATTTGTATCTCACTTAAAGTACAGGAAATATTTATTGTGATTTTCTATGCTGTGGTTTTGAACATGCAGTGAGTGTATCAGTGAGTCTCTATAATAATTTTCTTTTACATTTCTTCTGTCCTCATATATGAGAATTGATTTTGTATTTTACTTTAAAACTAAAATTCACATAAAAACAAATTGACCTACTTATGTGTTATGCCTTAAATACAAAATAGTCTTTAAATATTGGCCTATAACAATGGAGCAAAGAAAACAGAAAAATCTAATGTTTGATGTTTCTATGACTCTTTAAGGAAGTTGATATAGTGATTTAAAGCTGAAACACATTTTCAGATTCTTAAGGGAAACATTTTAAGGCTTTCATATCTAGAGTACATTTGTAATCCCTTCTTTGTGTATGCTTGAGGCTTCATAAATACCATACACTTTATGAATTATATTTAATACTTTCATCTAAATTACACTGATGAAAAGGCTATTATTTATATATAGTATTCCTTGTATAGGGAGACTGATAATTTTGTTCTTTTTTCCTATTGCATTTTTTATTATGCTGATTTGAAACCAATGAATTTCATCTTTTGCTCTACTGCAAAGGTCTTAAAAGATGGTAGAATTATTTAATTTGGAAGAGCACAATAGAACTTGGTAATAGCAAGTTATAAGCTTTTACTTAAATCTTATTTAGCAAAATGACTTTCTTAAATGGGACATAACAGATCCAATAGAATATAGTCACTTTTAAACTGAGTGGTAAACTCACTGGTGTTTAAGTCTTAAGAAAAGCCATGTAGAATTCTATTTTTGTACTTGATAGGAAATGTAAAATTTTGACAATTATTCTTCGTAGTATTATTAAAATTACTAAATATTCTTCATAGGTTTCTTTTTAAGGACCTTATTTTATGTAAATTAGGTGAAAAACTCTTACTAAATGAACAGTAACATTTTAAAAAGGCCTTTACTGAAAGAAAGCCTGAAAGCAACACAAAGAATAATGGTACTCATATCACTTCTTGAACCCTAGGGATCCACAGAGGGTTTTCTGAAATAAAATTTAGTTATTATATACATGTTTAATTTGTTTGCATTATCCATAAATGTGATTGTAGTGTGTATAAGACTGTGAAAAAGAATTGCAATCACAATGATTCACCAATACTTTTTTTTTAATTTTTAAAAAATTTTTTTCACCAATACTTCTAACTAGGAGGTAATAGTTGTCCATTGAGTATTAAAATGTCCAATAGCTTTTCTCATGAGATGACTTAAAAATTACCATCAACACTGAAAAACCTTGGTGATTCTATTAAGTATATGAAATATAAAATAGAAAAATTATTAATTTAAAATGTTGGGTAAAATTTTAATGTATGTTTTATTATGTTAATATTTATGCATAGGCCTGTGAATTTATATCTATGTAGTTTTATAGTCTTGGAAATGTTAACCAAATGATGAAAGACTCCAACATTGTCTATTTTCTTTGATTTTATAAACTTTATTACCTGTGTTTTGCTTTCTTTGTGGTCATTATCTCATTTATCTTGTGAGATTTAATAATTCCAGTTAATAGGAATAGTATTTTTAGGAGGAATAATAGTTTGCAGTTTGTAATCTCTAACTTGATATTTTCAGATATTTCTACCTTTTACATTATAACAAAAAAATGTTTTCCCCATGGCTTTATTTCTGTTGATAATTGTTTTGAAAGTAATGGACAAATAAACAATTATTTCGAGGGAGAAAATGTGTAATTAGTCACAAATATCTTTTGAGAAAATCTCTCCCTGATAAAATTACTCATGAGTGAACATGTTAGGTTTGACTGTCATCCTTTGTTGCATAGTATCTGCAAAGCACTTCTGGAAAGGCCAGATATGTTTGCATGTTGAGGAATCTCGAGAGAAAGAGCAGCCCTTTTTAAGGGGGTTTTATTAAGAGCAGCAATTGACTTGATATAATTCATGAGCTTTTCTTAATCAACTAACTGAAATCTATGATCTTTAATTTTTTTTTTTTTTTTACTCAATGAAATGCAGGGTTTTCTCAAGATGTTACCCACACACTTGTTTAGCAATGTTTCGTGTGTTGAATTTTGCAACTTGATCTAATGAAAGGATTTTGTTGGACAGTTTTGAATTGTTATCATGTAAGAGAAAGTATTTAATTTGTAGGAAAAATACATCTAGTGAATATTGTTGGAGTCACACAACTTTAAGTGTACATAGAGAAACAAGCAATAGATTCTGGATTAGGTACCAGAGTTTAAATCAAAGCTCATGATTTATCATGACTTGCACAGTTTTGACCAAGTCACTTAACCCCTTCGTCCCTCAATTTCTTGTCAAATGAGGAGGTGGGTGGGACTAGATGATTTCTAAATTCTCTTTCAGCTCTAATTTTATGATAAAATTAGAAATCCTAGGGAGCTATACCTTTTCCACTGGCTTCCATTTGGGGCAGTTAGGTGGTGTAGTGAATAGAGTGCTGTGCTTGGAGGTAGGAAGACTAGAGACATTTCCTAGCTGTGTATCCCTGGGCAAGTCACTTAACCCTATTTACCTCAGTTTCCTCATCTGTAAAATGAACTGGTGAAGGAAATGACAAATTACTCCAGTATTTTTGCCAAGAGAATCCCAAATGGGGTCATGAAGAGTTGGACACAACTGAACAACATTGTTCCATTGAACTTCTCATTGCTCTGCCCTCAAAAATCTCATATTCTTTTTTTCTGGACTGCAGAGTGGGTAGATTTTATGTCTTTATGTAGTTTTAATATCCAACTGAATTTATTCTGCCTAGGTAATGCTCAGATGGTTTTAATGAAACTTTGTTCGCTTATTTGAGGATTTGATGATCTTTTTAAGAAGATGAGTATATTTGTTTTTAAAAAAGCAGTAATTAGAATTATATTGTTTCTGTTTTTGTGATGTAGTGTAATTTATGAAGAATTTCTTAAGCTTATTGAGTCTCCAAAGGCTGTAGCTTCTTCCTCTAATCACTAAGCAAGAAAGGGAAATGAAACTTTCTTAAATTGTTTAAGCATTGTTTTTAACCTGTGGCAAAATATTCCATGCTGTCTAGGCATGTCTCTGAAGGGAGCAATTTGGGTTGAATTAATTAGCCCCAAAGGCTTAAATGTGAATATCTTATCCAGAAAATTTAGCCATAAATACTAAAAAAATGTGTCTTGGTTTACTGTTTCTGTAACTTGTTTTTACATACACTTTCTCTCTCTCTCTCTCTCTCTCTCTCTCTCTCTCTCTCTCTCTCTTTTTCTCTGTCCAAAACTATACTTAATTTTAGACCTAAAACTTTGTGCAGTGAGTACAGAAAATTTAATTTTTATCTCTAAAGGTAGAGAAACAGATCTATTTGACTTTTATTTTTAATTAATGCCTCATTTTGTAGATTCAAAGCCTACATTTATAATATTTTTCCTAGGATGTGTTAAAAGTAAAAGAATAGTTTGAATAGTTATTTGTTATATTCTTGCTCTATGCTTAGTGCTAGGCACAGGAAGATTCAAAATCATAAGACTTGATCACTACTTGCTTTTTTATAACTTTTGCTTATAAAAAATCACAATAATTAATAATGTTAGCAGATGGACTTCTTTTGACTTCTTTCTTTGGTGGAAAGACTTATTAAATGATCAAAAGGCAAACCAAATGGAGAAGAAAGCCGTTATTGTTCTGTTTACATAGTCATAGAGTAATGGATAGCTGGCTATAGGTTGTAAGTATATTTAATTAACAAAGATTTTTCATGTAGTGGTATACAGGAAAAGTTTTTTTTTATGTATTCTTTATGTTGAATTACTGTGACAGCAAAATACATACATACACACATGTATATATGTTTTACAATGCAAATATTATTGATTTGAAGTGCAGTAAAAAAGCAGTAATTTGATGTAAATGGAAGATTATGTTTGAAAGGTTAGGGAAAGGACAAAATATTTATAGCATTACATGTTTTTAAAAAAGGATCTCAAATTTCAGAGTGACAAGTCTTTTAAATTTGATTTTTTTAAAATTTAAACATTTAAAAAAGAGCTATATACTATCTAGTTTCATTAATGACTTTTCATTTTTACTAATATATCACCTTGGTTTATTTAATGTTTAACAAATTTACATTGGGTATTTTTATAGGTTCTTTTACTCTCTTATTTCCCCTCTGCTTAAGTAGTATAGTAGAAATAATAATTACTGGCATTGAAGTAATAATTAAAAGATTTGCAAAATGCTATATACATTCACATTTGATCCTCAAAATGACACTGTGAGGTAGATACTGATGGTATTATTTCAATTTTATTGATGAGGAAATCAAGTTAGCCCCTAACAGATTAAGTGACCAGGCCCATTGACTCGGAAGTACTAAGTGTCAGATGCAGAATTAAGCCAAGATTACTCCTGACTCCCAAGTCTGGCACCCTAAATTAACTTATTCTTAATAACATCTGTGTGAACAGAGGACAGTAGAAATGACTGTTTTGATCAATTTTTCACCTTTTCACTTCTGACCTGCCTCCTATTTCTTAGTGCCACTTGGTCTTGTGGGCTGTGAGGGGCCCCTAACTTTAAATCACTGATTGTTGTTGATTGTGTACATTTCTATTCATGACATCTTGTATATACATGTGCCTTTGTTAATACTTCATTATTTTTGTTGTATCTTATTTTGTAGGTTAAAGTGTTGAATGTTAATTTTAAAAACTACACCATCAGAAAGTAATGTTTTCCTTTTTGTTGTTGTTTTATCTTTTAGATAATACTATATGGGGATTTGCCAAAACATAAAGAAAATATAATATATTTATCAAATCATCAGTGCACAGGTTTGTATTTTGTTTGTCTGCAACCTAGGTCTTTTTTTTTAGGTACATAATTAGTAAAAATAGGTCTACCATCCTTAACCTTTTAAGTTGAACTATATAAAATATGTACCTTGAGTGTGGATGTACCTGAGCTTATTTTTTTTTATTGTGCATGTTTTTGAAAAGTCAGGCATGTTAAAACCTTTTTTAAATCTCTTCCACCTTCCTATTATAAATATTTATGGTATATTAAATCACTACCAGTTAAATTGGGTCATCAAAAGGCCTTTTTAGAAAGCTATAAAAACTTGTTTGGCTAAATGTGCCTGGGAAACAGTGTGACAATTGATAAATTTCATGTTGGATTTGGATGAACAACTTTTCATTATATTATGTCTGCTTTGCTCACTACCAGGTGATTTCCCCCTGAGTGCTATTTTTCCCCCTCCTAATGAGTTGGGAAGAATGCCATGTTTACTTTAGGCTTCTGGGAGAAATATGTATGTATATGTTCATGTATAAAAATAATCTTACACTTTTATATTGATATAATTGATAAGTACATTGTATTACATAAGGAGAGGCAAATAGAGAACCAGCAAGGTTTGGGTTTAAGTCCTGCCTGTGATATGTACTGGCAATGTGACCCTGGGCAAGTCACTTAACCTTTCAGTGTTCTAGGCAACTGTCTAAGATTATAAATTGTGGCAAAGATGCTGAAGTACTTTGGTGGAAAGAATATCCTCATTTGGGATTTCCCTGTACCAATGAAATCACAGGCTTAAACCCTATCTCTCTCTCAAGCCTGGTTACACAAAAGTGGTGAAGTTGACATTGCAGAAGAGTGATATTTGTGGAAAACCTCTATCTTGTAAATTATCTTTTTTTTTTAAAAAAATCTTTAAATTTTATTGATGTACTTTGTTTTTACATCACTTTCAATTCAGACTATATCTTTTTAATCCTCTCCTAGTGAGTAAACCACTAACAACAAAATAAAAATAAAGAAAAGTTAAAAAAGGAAATCAGTACAGCAAAAGTCACCAACACATCAATTGAGCCTTATAAAATAGGATATGCATTGTTCCACATTGAATCCCCACACATCTTTAATGAAGAGAGGGAGATGTATTTTCTCATCCCTTCAGGGAAAAGTTTGGTTATTATAATTGTACAGTGTTCAGAGTTTGTTTTTGTTTTTTTGTGGTTGTATATCATTTTTTCTATTAAATACTTCAGTTTTGTATTTTACCTAAAATATTTGGAAAAGGATGGTTTGTTTTAGACATATACAGGATTTTCATAGTTCATATATAAACAATTTTGTTTAGGAGACTGTATGACCTTTGCAGAAATAGGATATTTTTAGTTCGATCTAAATGCATATGAAATATTGGCAGTTTGAGTTCAGTGACTAGAAATGGAAAAGGATTTTGTTACTTGATCCATTTGTCATCTTTCAGGGATAGTAATATTCTTACCATTCCAGATGAATTCTTCTCTAAGACCATGAGGAAAGAGATAGAACAGGTTGCTATGGAAGTTTTTCTTTTATTTAAGAATTGTATAGGCGAGTTTTTAATGTCTGCTGATAACAGAATTTTGCTGTATTTAAAATCTGCTTCATTTTTGTTATAGTTTAATATTTTGTTTATGCACTTTGTCTTTGCTGTTATAACTTAGCATACTTTAAAATGAATCCAATTTTTAAATATCTTCCCTTGTCCCTTTTGTATGCCTTTGGTGACATAGCTCCAATTTCCATTTTATTTCCATTGTTTTTTAGTTAAAATTTTTTTTTTGGAGACTTAGGGCTGCAAAAAGTGGTTCTTGTAATCACTAATGGGCCTGATTCTACTTATTGGTATGGAAGCTCTGGCCTGTTTCATTTCTGGCCTGTTTCATTTCCAACCTGGCCCAGTTCACCTCTTCTTGGGCAGTCTAGTGTAATCCCTGCTCCCTGATGCTCACTATATTGGTACGCTTAGTTAGGTACCTTTGGCACCTGGACCAGAATGCAGGCAAGGGAAATAAAAGATGAAAGTGAAATTACTTGGTTTTGCTCTATGTTGACAATTTTGATAGGAGAGTAATTTGAAGTCATAGGCTACAATTAAGATTTGGGGTTTATGTTAAGTTTAATATATCCGTATTCTCCCTGACCCTGATTAATGTGACCAGCAGGATCTGTATGCTGTGACTATAGCTGAAAATACCTATTTAACATGATTGATAGTTGCTTAAAAACATGTCCTGTATTTTGTTAAATTTCTTCCTGTACTTTGCTTTTCCTTCTGTTAGCACAGTCATTATTATTAGAAGCACATTATTACTAATTGGTATTCAGGTGATGGTTGATTTCTTCTTTTTTCTTTTTCTTTTCTTTTTGTTGAGGTGATCAGAGTTAAGTGACTTGCCCAGGGTCACACAGCTAGTAAGTGTTAAGTGTCTGAGGCTGGATTTGAACTCAGGTCCTCCTGACTCCAAGGCCAGAGCTTTTTTCACTGTGGCACCTAGCTGCCCCCATTGGTTGATATTTTTGTTCAAGTACAGATATGCAAATATAAAGTACTTACTGCCTGAAGCAAATATGGGATGGATTATTTCCCTAAGTTCTTCAAAGACATTTCATCTATAAGATGGAAACCCATCTAACTCCAAGAAGGTAGAAACTCTAGAACCATATCAGATTAAAAACCCTTTCTTTTTTCCTAGATCCACTAGAGGTTCCAGGCACCTCATAATGATATTTTGCCAGTTAATCATAGACTATTTAATGCCTAGTTTTTAGGTGAGACAGTCTTATGGAAGAGTACTTGGCCAGCTTCCCCAAAATTCAGTGGATATCTGATGGAAAACAGTAGATCTTGATACCATTATCTTTGTAGTTACCTCAGAGTTATCTTTGACTTGTCCCCTCTCCTTATACCATATCCAGTCATTTGCCAAATTCTGTCCATTTTTATAAAGTTCTATTACACTTCCAATTTCAGGCCTCAGCCTTTTTCTCTATCCTAGTTCAAATATTCATCATCTATTGTAATAGCTTCCTAACGGCTCTCCTAACCTCCAATCTTTCCCTGTACTTTCATCCTTCCTAAAACTTCCAGAATCATCTTCCTAAAGTCATTTCCGAATTCAGAAACCTTTACTGGCTCCCCATTACCTTTGAGATCAAATATGAAGTCCTTAGATTGGCAGGCTAGTAATCTCTACAGTCCAGTTCCAGTCTTCATGCAGTCAATATTCCAGCCAAATTGAAACTACAGGACTGCTGGCTCTTTCCATATTGCATTTGCCACCATTCCTATAGTGCACTTCTTCCTCATTTCTACCACTTTCTCATGAAACCATCCTTGGTTCCCTAGCTATAAGTTTTCTGTTTCTCAAATGTTCCTGGAGCACTTCATCTGACTTGTCCTTTGCCTTCTTCATTATCTTGCCTTGTATTGTACATGTTGTCTTATCCCTGCTGGTAGAATGTAAGCTCATTGAGTTCTGGGACTGTGTTTTGTCTTTTTTTTTGTCTCCACTGCTTATTACAGTGCTTGGCAGGTGTAAAATTATGAAGACACATAGTAGGTGCTTAATTAAAACTTGTTTACTGCTTGAATAAAATGTTAAGTTAAATTGAATTGCCTCTTCTATATGAATGCTGATAGGCCCAAGAGAGGTGGTAGTCTGGGAATCTAAGTGAACAGGAGTTACTGAAACAGGTTGAAAATTCTCACAGGCATCTAGGGGTAGAGGTAGGGGTGTATCTCTTTTTATTTCTGTAAAAGAATCTTCAAGTGTCTGTAGCATTCCCAATTTTGAACTAGTCCAGATCCTAACTCTAAGGAGCATTCAAATTTCTAAAGTTACCTCACAATGTGGTGCTTGTAACATAACGCATTGAACCTCTTAACTATTATATCTGTTTGTTTGCTAGTCTTGGACACATTATTCCATCTTTACTTCTCAAAAATTATAGCTAAATGTTTTTGCAAGTTATAATTTTAATCACATGCGTGTTAATTCTGGTTTGACATGTAAAACAGCTTTTATTTACTGTTATATGTGTATTCCCCTCTTATTAATCTTTCCAACTAAATCACTTTTCTTCTTATATATACAGTCTCTTGTCCATTTATCACTTTTACTGTAATCAATAATTATTTAACTTTTGATATTTTTCCCCTTGTCTTCTGTGAAATTTCCCTACCTCTCAACTGCCCTTTGGTTCTTATTGTCTTTGATCATTTATGCTTACTCTCCCCTATTTGGTCTACCTGTTAATTCGATCCTGGTTTTGAATCTCATCACAGCTATTCATTCAATTCAACAAGTATTTATTAAATACCTACAATTTATCAGGCATAATGCTAGTTGATGGTGATTTCAAGACAAAAAGAAAACAGTTACTGTTTTCAAGGAGCTTAGGTAATTATGGGGGAAAGCTTGTACAAAAATGAGTAAATTCAAAATAGAGTATATCCACCATAATTTGGGGATGGGAAAAACACTAATGACTGGGGAAGTCAGGACAGGCCTGGGGACATGCTACTTGACTAGAATCTTAAAAGGATGATGTGGGTGTGATGAGGAGGAAGAAAATTCCAAGTATGGAAGACAGTCTGAAAAGGTACAGAGATAGGAGAACATAGTGTTGCATAAAGTAAGTATGTCAATTTGTCTAGAATATAGTATATGCAAAACGGGGTTAAAATGAAGTAAATCTGGACAAGTTGGAGCCAGATTGTGATAGCACTTTTAAGTATTGAACCTAACCCAGGTGTATTATCTTAGGTAAGTCCCTTAACCATCACTCTGAGTTTTCGTTTTCTAATTTGCAACATGGGGATGATAATTATTATACTACGTAACTTATGGTTGCTTTGGGAGAGACATTTTCTAAATGTTAAAGCACTATGTAAATATGAGTAGTTATTATTATATCATTCTCCTATATTGCCACTATAAGAAAAAAAATGTCAGAATTATTCAGGAGGGAAGTGTGTTTTTTGAGTCAATGTTGGGGAATGTTATTCAAAACATTTATTGATACCCTAAGTATAAACTGTACTTGTAATGATTATTAATACAGAAAGAATTGTTGGTGCTTAGCCATCTGGCAGCTTTATCCAGAACATAGCCAAGAACTCAAAAAGGAAGCAAAAATAAGGCTTCTAAACAGCAAAAGTGTATGTCACAAACTGCACTTTATGGTAGAACTCATTCTACCCACCCCAACCCCTCCCCCCTTATTCAAAGCCTATTTGCTTATTAGAATTTGTGTATGGTCAAGGTTTTGTTACCTCGTTTCCTAACTTGTAGTGACTTGGGGAAGAAACACTGTTAGAGGCATACTGATGTCATTGAAAAGTGACAGCTGTTTTTCTGGTATCATGGAAGGAGGGAGGAAAAGTATAAAAAGCAGACACGAAATAAATCCTGCAGTCTAGAGCAGACTTAAGGGTCGCACATCTCTATATCCTTCTACAGTTGCTGAGGGCATCACTTTGTTAGCCCATAATAAAATAACAGGTATTAGGGCTGCAAGGTACCTGAGAAATCATTGAACCTAATGCCTTAATTTTTCAGAGTAGAGGAAAGACTAAGAGAAGTGAAATAACTAACTTGTCCCAGGTTACAGCCAGTGTCAGAACCAGATGAGATAGATTACAGGTGTTTTAACTCTAGCCCAGTATTCTTTTTACTTTATCAAGTTGTTTTACTTTAGAATTGTGACCCTTAGTCATCAAGAAAAGGTTAAATTATGTTTCGTGCATTTCATCTATGTTTCCTGTAGGCAGGGAAGTGTTTAGTTCTTCATTGATTTTGGATGAATTTTTGGTGCTTCAAGATGGGAGGTAGCAACATTTGTAGAGAGGAAGATAATACTCTTGGCTGTAAAGAAAACAATGTAATATCCTTAGAAACAAGAAACAAATAATATCCTTAGAGCTGACAGTCATTTAAGAGATCATTTAACTCCATAGCAGAGCTAGACTAGAGAGATTTCTCACTGACTACAATGTTTGTTCTACTATATCATGTTGTTTTCCATTCTTTGAGGGATCAAGGCTGCACCACCAACAACAACCACCTCAAAACAAAATTTCTTCCATCATATAAATGGGATATGACTCAAAGAGGTTCTAACTAGGCCCTGGGAATACCTGTTCATTCTCAGGATTGTTGAGGGGGGAATGATAGAGAGAAGGACAAACTCTGGATATCAGGCAGGTGTGCCCATGTTCCAAGTACTATGTTGTGAAATTATTACTTACCCCATAAGAACAGCCTGTGTATTTTCCCAGAGAAGAATTATATAATTTGAGAGTTGGAAGGTACCTTAATGACCATTTGGTCCAACTCCTGGACAAGAAATCCCTACTAAAACATGCCCAACAAGTGGTAAATACAACTCTTTGCCTTGTAGACCTTTTTGGGTAGTTCTAATTGTTTTCTTGGCATCAAACCTCAATTTGCCGTTTTCGTACCATTTGAACCATTTACCCTTGATTCTGTTACTTAAAGTTCAAATGGAAAAAGTCTAGTTCCTCTTCGTCATGACAGACTTTCAGATACTTGAAGACAGGTTTTATATCCTCCTGAGTCTTTTATTCTTCAGGCTAAATATGTGTAGTACCTTCAAATCTTCATTCATTCCAATAAGATACTAGTCTTTCTTATAGTTGGTGGCTATCATGTTTATAAAAAAAAATTTCTAAATCAACATCTTCAATCCTCTCTAATTTTAAATTTGTAATGGGCAATTTCCACATGGATATCCTGTTCACACATTAATCTTAACATTGCCAACTTCACCATCCAAAATATATTTTACCCTTTTATAAATTCTAGATTGATCTCAGTATTAGTATTCTGGCCAAAGCCCACAGCCTTAGAATATTTTTGGTTCCTTCCTATCTTTTGTCCCTTTTATCTTATTTGTCAACGGTATCTACTTTTTAATGTAGTATTGACTTTATGCTTCCTATTTCTATAGTCTAGGACCCTATGATCTTGTGCCAAGATGGCTGCAAGAACTTCATAGTCTTCTCTCTTTCAGTATATTTTTTTACTCAGTTTTATGCCCAGCTAATAGAAGTACCCTTTTCAAGCACAAACCATGTTTTTCTCTTCTGTTTAAGAATCTGTTGCTTGTTTTAACATCCAGATTTTTCTCCTTGTCCTTCAAGGCCTTATATCGGTTATATACCTTTCTTTTATCCCATTTCCTGTTATTATTAGCTTTTCTAGTCCTTCTCTTTAAGTGAAGTTAATTCACTTTCCATTATCTGCATATAACTTGCATATTTCCATTTCTGTACTTACATATTTGACATTCCCTTTGCTTAGAATGCTACCCTCTTTTTTTTCTTTAAAAATTATTAAAAAAAACTTCTTAAAAGTTTTATATTATAGATTTCACCAGATCCTATGCTTCTGTTTAACATTTTTTAAAAATCAATTGTCTTTTTGTACTAAATTGTGTTGTACTTCGTTTATATTTTGCTCTGTAAATGTGTTTTCAGTTAGTTTACACACACACACATGCACACACATACAGATACACATATTATACATTCAATTGAGCATAAACCTCTTGAGGGGAGGCACCATGTCTTTCCTGTGTACTTCCATACCATTTGTCTGTGCAAACAAATTCTTAGTAAATTTAGGCTACGGGTAGGGAATCTGTGGCCACATGTGGCCTTCTAGGTCCTTGAGTGGGGCTTTTTGACTGAGTCCAAGTTTATAGAATAAATCCTTTTATTAAGGGGATTTGTTATGTGAAGAAGGCCTCAGGTTCCCCAACCCTGATCTAGGCTGTCTTTTCTGTTATGGATCCCATTTGAATTTTTTAATCAACAGAAGTTAGATACAAAGAAAAAAACCCACAAAGTTTTACCTTTTTGTGTTATTTCCCATTTCCATTTTAGAAGAGAAAATATTTTTCGACATTTTTATATTTTTTTGTCCCTTATGTAAGTTTTATTTGTGACTGGGTTGTTTATTTTTTTTTTAAATGACCATTTAATTCCTATGATATTTAAGAAAAATGTAATAGAGTTTTGCTTCTTTTAGGAACTGATTTTATGTTTATTACATCTAAAGTTGTTATTTAATGACATCTATTACTATTATTTTGTTTTGAATTATGGAGTAGATGGAACTTTTAGGCAACTTTTGAAGCAGTTTTGGACTAATGAATTCGGGTTTCTTTTGGCAGTTGACTGGATTGTTGCTGACATTTTGGCAATCAGGCAGAATGCTCTTGGACATGTACGCTATGTTCTGAAAAATGGCTTAAAGTGGCTTCCGTTGTATGGGTGGTATTTTTCTCAGGTAATTTGTTTCATTTATTTTCTTAAGTTTTATGATGACATTGTAGGCCCCAACATCTTACTCTAAACTGAAATACTTTTATGATAAGCTTCTTTCTAATTTTACATGTAGATCTGAAAGAATTTTAAAATGTAGTAAGTTTAAAACTTTAAAGTGTATAAAAGATAAAAGTGATTTTGAAGGTGTCATATTTCACATAATATTATCTTAAGAAATAAAATGGTAAAGGAAATAATGCTCTCCAGGATTATATATTCCTTAGTAATTAGTCATTAATTCCTTATGATCTTTCTCTCATTTTATAAAGTGTAACTGTCCATGTTTTTATTTTTCCTGCTAAAATTATTTGACATTTAAAATTTTCTCAAGTATGAAAGTGGTCTTATTATGTGAAAATAATCATAAGGTATGGGTCATGTTGTAGTAGAGGGATATTTTAAAAATAGTTGAAGGATATAGATTTCAGATAAAAATTCTATGGTATAGTCTTAAAGATGTCAGACTAGAAAGGATTTGCATTATTACCATGGATAATATATACCCGCATTAGTTTGTGTCATCCATCAATTTAATTATCTGTTATAAGTGTTTTGGATTTATATTTTATTTTTTTTTCATTCATTTTGCTTTACTATGTATTTTTCTCTTTATTGCTCTGTTTACACATCCCCAAATTTCTTGAAATTAAAACCCATATTATCTTACTGGCAAATAAAAGCGATTGTGTGTGATGTGTAAGCTGTTGACTTCATCAGACTGGCAAAAGGGGATTCATGACAAAAAAGATTTAAGAACCCCTGCTTTAATATTCTTAGGTAATAAAGCAGGAACTAAATATGTACTGATAGAGGAACTTTAGCTCTTGAGAGTCCCCTCAGTGAGCGAATAGTCGAAGGTCTACACCAAAAAAAAAAAAAAAAAGTATGTGTGTCTCTTTATTGTGTGTATATATATTTTAAGAAAAACCATTACTGACTTTGAGACTTTATAACAGGTTCATATTGATACATCTTATTTAGCAACAGGTGTTATTTTTTTTATAATAAAGACCTATTATTTTCATTCACACTTACTGATAAACCCAAAACTCATTTTATGAAAAGTTCTCAATATAATGGATATATAAACAGAATTTTGCTCTGAATTTTATAATTTATAATTTATAAATTCTTTGACCTGCTTTATCTATATGGAATTTGACTAAAATAATTTTTTTTTATTAGAAATAGGAATCAAATAAGGGAAATAACAGAGACTGGTAATGAGATTTTTCAAGACAAATCAAATTGGCTGGGACAGTTTTATCTAATGAGTTATCTTAAGATTTTAGGACAAAATTGTCAAAGGCCAAAAAGAGGTCTCAATAATAATTTACTAAATCTATTTTATATCTGCTTCGCAAATAATGTCTACTATTACACCAGAGTTTTTACTCACTTCTTTCCTATTACAAGTTATTTCATATCTCCTTACTCACTGTTTTTAGCTCTTAAGTACAAAACTCCCATTCTTTCTATTTATCTTTTATCATCAGCGAGTACAAAGATTATGATGTATAATCAAAGAATGTCATAAACATTGATGATCACCCAGCCCATTGCCGCAATTTCACTTATGGAAACAGTCTGCAAATAATACAGTTGAGCTTATATAGGTTTTTCAATGACATTTAAAATTAATGTAATTTTAATAGCCTATTGCTTGTAGGTATGTTAATTTTTTTAAAAGATGCCTAGGGTTAATTAATAGATGCTGTTATATTTGTAAATTCTTTGTTGTTTTTGTCCAAACTTTCATCACTGTGGGGTTAACCTTCCTTTTTTCCTTACGCTTATCAATGACAATATCTTGTATTTATATAGTGCTTTGTGGTTAAAGAGTGTGTATGCATGTATGTGTGTATATATCTGTGTGTGTGTATATATACACACATGTACATATATAGACATATTTAAAACAACCCTATGAGGTAGATAATGTCATAGTTAGCAGTGATGATAACAATAACTACTTATATTTAAAGTGTATTCTACAGAGTTCTTTTTAGGAATCTCATATTTAACCATCACAGCAATCCTGTGAAGTAGGTATTGTTTAAGTGTTATTTACTAGTCAACTAGCATTTATTCAGCATTACATACAGGCATTGTGCTAAGTAATGAGGTTATAGAGAAAGGCAAGAAACAGTCCCTGCTTTGAAAGGAGTTACTATCAGTCTAATGGGAGAGACAACATGCATACAACTGTATACAAACAAGATAAATAGATATTTATCTATGCACACATACATACATACATACATACATACATACATACATACATGACAAATTAGGGATAGTCTCAGAGGTAAGGAGGGACTGGGGAAAGCTTCTTAAGTGGGACATTAGCAGAGACTTAGAGGAAGGCCAGGGAAGCTAGAAGGTAGAGATGAGGAAGGAGAATATTCCGGGCTTGGGGGACAGAAATTCTGTCTAGAATTGGAGTGTCTTGTCTGAGGAACAACAAAGAAGCCAGTATTAATGGGTAGTAGAGTATGCTAAGAGGAGCAAAGGTAGGAGGGGGCCAGGTTGTGAAGGGCTGTAAAATGATATAATATAATGGAGTTGATTGAATAGAGGGGTAACATGAGGCAGCCAGGTAGTGCAGTGGATAGACTGCCAGACCGGGAGTCAGGAAAATCAGAGTTCAAATCCAGCCTCTGACACTTACTAGCTGTGTGTCCCAGGGCAAGTTACTTAACTCTGTTTGGCTTAAAATAGGCTGGAGAAGGAAATTGCAAAGCACTCCAGTATTTTTGCTAAGAAAACCCCAAATGAGGTCATGAAGAGTTGGAGACAACTGAAAAATGACTGAAGAGCAACATGGTCTGACTTGTACTTTAGAAAGTTCAGTTTCACAGCTGAATGCAGGATGGATTGGAATGGGGAGAAATTTGAGCCAGATAGACCAACAGGTTATTGGAATAATCCAGTCATGAAGTGATAAGGTCCTGTCACCAGGGTGGTGGCAGTGTCAAAAGAGAGAATGGGATATATACAAGCGATGTAATACTAAAGGTAGAAATGACCCAGATTTGACAATTGAATTAAATTATGGGGAGGTGAGAGTGAAGAGTTAAAGATAATGCCTAGATTTTGAATCTGTGTGACTGGATGGTGGTGCCCACGAAAGAAATAGGGAAGTTAGGAAAAGGGGATGGTTTGAGGGAAAAGATAACAATTGCTGACCTCCCACTGCTCATTAAAAATCAGAAGTGGTGGGATTAAATCCTTATAACAAATAAACATATATGTCAAGCAAAATAAATCCAAATAGTAAGCCATATCCAAAAATATGTCTTTTTATCTTGTGTTTATTACCTCTCTGTCAGGAGGTAGGTAACGTGTTTCATCATAAGTCCTCTGGAGACATGATTGTTCATTGCAGTGATCAGAATTCTTAAATCTTTTAAAAGTTTTTCTTTCTAATTTTGCTATCCTTGTATAAATTGTTATTCTGATGCTGTTCATTTCATTCTGTATCCCTTCATACTACCCAGGACTTTCTGAAATTATTTTTTTGATTGCTTCTTACAGTGCACTAATATTCCATCACATTCATATACCACACTTTGCTTTTCCATTACTTAGTTGTCTACCACTAAGTTTAAGTATTTCTCGTTCTCCCCCCCATTTTTAATCCCCCTTCAAGACTAAGAACTATGTTTTGCTTGAGTATTCCCTCCCTAGTATTATCCTCCCTCTAAACCCCTCTGCTGCCCCCTCCCTTTTCCCCTTGTTTCCCTGTTGAATTTGCTGTACTTCTATATCAAACTTTATATGATAGTATACATGTATTCAACAGTCCTTTGCTGATTGTGGATGAATGAGATTTATCTAATGCCCACTTTCTTCACTCCTTCCTCCATGTTTGTATATTCTTATGCATTCCATTTATGAGGAATAGCAAGTTATACCCTCCTTTTCCCTTCTACATTCTTACTCTCCTCTTGAATCCCTCAGAATAGAAACACTTTATCTCTTAGGACTTTTTTTTTTTACTCCTTGAATGCACTTTGAAAGCATTACTGTACTGAAGAGACACTTCTTTCTTTTTTTCCCTGTTAACATGTTAGCACTCCATCATCCTACAACTCTTTCTTACATAAATTTACCTTTCCAAGTCTTTCTGGGCTTTTGTGTTTGTATTTCAAAGTTCCTTTTCAGCTATAGTTTTTTCAGAAATGCTTGAAAGTTCCCTCCTTCTATAAAGGTCCATTTTCCTCCCTATAGGTTGTATTCAGCTCTCCAGGGTAGGTCATTCTAGCTTTGTCTTTTGGAATATTATAAGATCTCTTGAATATAATGTAAGCTGTCCAATCTTGTGTGAGCCTTCTGAATGATTGCAGTATCTTTTCTTTGGGGGAGCTCTAGATTTTGTCAATAGCATTCCTGAGACTTTTCCTTTTGAGAATCCTTTGAGGAGATGATTGGTGGATTCCTAACACTTTAAACTTGATCTCTGGTTCTAATAGACCTAGGCAGTTCTAATTTGTGATTTCGTGTAACATAGTGTCAAAGCTTTTTTTTTTTAAACATGGTTTTTAGGGTGTCCAGTGATTCTTGATGATCTCTCCTTACTCTGTTTTCCTAGTCAGTTCTTTTTTTTTTAAAATTCATTTATCTTACTTCTTCCAGCAATGTAGGCCAGTACCTTTTGTACCATGAACTGTCTTAGAGAATTGCCTAAAGCAACTTTCCAGTCTACACCATGTTGGTTCATATAAATAGCAATATTACCATATTGATAAAAAAAATTCTACAAAAGCCCTTATTTATGCACTGTATAAACAATGATAAAATAAAGATTAAGAGTTACATGATATTTAAGGTTTATGTATGTGGGAGGGTTGTCTTTTGAAAAACTGAAATTTTCCTTGTTTAAAGCAACAATTACTATGTAGGGTTTTTATGTATATCTTTAACACTATCCATTAATTTTTGCTGTCTTGGGGCTTGTCTCCAACATAATAGCACCTATTCTTATCCTTAAACAGGACCCAAATCTGACTGCTTCCTCAACTCTGCAAGCTACCAACCTCTTCACTGCCCATCTACTCCCAACTGCATGTCATGATCTTCAGGATACCTATAACTCCTGTATGACACTAAGAATAGCCAGAGATCAGATGGTTTTGAGAAAATTGCTACCTCCCCTCAAGCACAAGGGTTGCTCCTTGCCTTTAGGAGAGATCCTTCAGAGGCCAGATTCTGTTCTGAGTTAGTGATTTTTGAGTAAGAACCCTGATTTGTTCCCATGTCCACCTTAACTACTCCTCCCCTTTTTTTGTTTTTGTATGGGATAAATTGAGGTGTATGGAAGAAGCAGGCATGAGTGGGATATGACCCATTACAGATCTTATATCTTTTTTTTTCTTATCCATTCTTTTCCCAAATTTATCTGTTTCTAATAAAGAGCATCACCCACTTTCTGGTCATCTAAATTTATAACCTTACTGTCATCTTTGACTCCTCATTTTCCTTCATTTCACGTATCTGGTCGGTTGCCATATCTTCTACTCATAGAGCCACAGCTCTAATTCAGGCTCTTTAACATTCATCATCTGGACTACTGGCATATATAATCATATACAGATTTTTACTAAGTATGTCCTGGTTTTAAATCCCACCTCTGATACTCACTGGCTGTGTGATGGTTAATTTCTCCACTGTGTTCTTACTTGTAAAATAATGCCTACCTCATAGGATAGTTGTAAGACTGAGATGAAATAATTTGTGTAAAGCATTTTGTAAACCTTAAAGCACTATATAAATGTGAATTGGAATTTCTTCTAATGTTATATTTTGAAAAGGACAAAGTTGGTTGAAAATGCCAGTTACTTTAAAAGGGACCTTAATATAAAAAATAATTCATTCCTAAGCATAAATAGAAAAAGAAATACTGCTACTGACTAGAACTGAAAGTTTTGTCTTATTTAAGCATTAAATTGTTCTTTGTATCAGCTCATTCTGTTTAATATCCATTACTTAATGTAGTGCTATAGAAACTATATTTGGCTATACATGGAATTGTTGATTTAAGAATAATGTGTAAGGGATACTAAGAATTTCATAGTTCTAGTATCATAAGAAAATTGTTTTTATTGTTTTGGTATATATAAAATTTGTTTTCTCAACACTATCTTTTGAGTGCTGAACATTTGAATTTTAAGATGAAATAATTTCTTTTTAAATTTTCTGTGTTTAAGCATGGAGGAATCTATGTAAAACGAAGTGCCAAATTTAATGAAATGGAAATGAGAAACAAGCTACAGAAGCAGATGGATGCAGGCACTCCAGTAAGATTATGCTATGTTTTCCCTTTGTTAATGTAATTATTATTTGCCTATGATCCACTATGTTTTAATTGAAGAAACCTTTTTTCTCAAATTAGTGTAAAGTTCATATTGATTTTAATTAAGGAGGTTTCATTTTTTGACAGTTCTTATTCAATAGATAACCAGTATTAGATTTAGTTACATATTTTGTAGTCTTTCTATTCAGTGCATTTTTGTTAGGGTCATGTATAGATAAAATGATAAACACAAAATGGATGGACAAAGGTTTTATTCATCTTGATTATTATTAAGATTAATATGAAGCAATCAATTCAGTGATTAGTATTAACTAAAAATATGGCTAACATTAACATTTTAAATTTTATTTCTTTTATTCAGTGCACAAATATGGTATAGACTTAGTAAAAACTAAATGACCTTCTGCCTTTCAATAGTAAACCTTTTTGTGTTGAGCATAGGTTTTTTTTAAAAATTGCATTCATTGAATTGTCTGAAAGTTGTTTCAGGATTCATAAATTTACAAACATAAAAACATACTAATTCATTTTTAGCAATATTTTGTAATGGTGTGACTTTGCTACCAAAAAAAATTTCAGTAATTTTCCTTTAAAAGTATATTGTTACCAAATGATTTTTTCCCATGACTTTAGAACCAAAGCTCAACGATTGTAGTTGTCATATTTTGATTTGTTCTTTTTATACCCACACCCCCTGTCTATATATATCCCTTCTAAATTTGATTTGTTCTTGATGTTATAATGTAGTATAACTTTCTGACCAACTGATTCAAACTCAAGTGATAGATTGCAGGTAATTTTTTTTTTTTTTTTTTTTTGCTGAAGCAATTAGGGTTGAATGACTTGCCCAGAATCACACAGCTAGTGAGTGTTGTATGTCTGAGGCTGGATTTGAACTCAGGTACTCCTGACTCCAAAGCCAGTGCTCTATCCACTGCACCACCTAGCTGCCCTGACTGCAGGTCATTTTAAAGAAGATTATTTTAATGTAGTCTAGTGAATCATGAATCAGTTTATAATATTGATAAGTTCGTATTTTTGTCTTACCATAAAACCCTGTTATTACTGAATGTTTTTGCATTTACACACATGAAAGCTTTAAAAATATAAATGTACTTGGTGTTGGAAACTTGGGAATTCTCTGTGAGGGGACTTCCTTTACCAATGTAGATCAGCATCTATTCCACAATACAGTATTAGATAATTGCCTAGAATACTATGAGACTAAGTGACTTACCCAGGGTCACCTAGTCAGTAAATGTCAGAGGTGGAACTTGAACCCAAGTTCTCCTGACTTGGAGGCTAGTTCTCTAGCCACTATACCACATAGGCTGTTCATAAGTAAGCAAAATCAAAATTTTTTTTATTATAATTTAACAGCTAGCAAAATTCGTTTCTATATGTGAAACCACTAAGTGACTACCGTAGTATTTTAATAATAATGTGTAGTTTGTTTGTTTTTTTTAAATTAAATGAGTTTTCTAATTTCCATTGCTTTTTGTTTCTCTACCTTAGGGGGGAAAACCCAATTTGAACTTAGAGTTATTCTAAGGAAAAGGTCATATGTGACTGAATATTATTCATATTCCTTTCCCTATAGTTTTGTTTATACTGTGTTATACCTTTATCTCACTGAAAACAAATTTGGTTGTTCCTCAGCTAAAGTTAATTTGCAAGAAAATGGTTATAATGCCACCTTTTAAAGAAGAAAAGATTGTTCCTTTGCTTTCTTAAAGTAGAGGTGATTTAGTTAGTATGATATGTGTGTAGTTTTATGTAGCATGATATGGTTGTGGTTTGGTGATACGTGGATTTATCAAAACTGAGATTGTGTAGAAAGAATTCAATGATCGGTTAGTCTACCTGCTTCTAATCATAACTAAATCATTTCAGGAAGATAATGACGTATTCTTACCTTTTCTTTTTTCTACACTCTACCTTAGGTAACCAATTTTGTAACATTTTTTAGTAATAAAGGAAATTTTTTGAAGAAAGATTATCAATCACTCCTGCTTTGGAATGACATAACAGAATGTCATTACAACCCCCTTTCCTATAATTTGAGGCCAGATGAAGGGGATTTAGATGTTCTGCCATGATCTGAAATGACCTTTAGATTCTATGTAAGATTACTTTGACATCTGAAACCAAAATGCAGTTTGGGGTTTATTCTTCAGTAGGCCTTATTATCCAGAATCATTTAGGTTGTCCCGTTAAAGCAAACCTATTGTTTTATTGCTAGAAGCTAGGGTCTTTTGAGTGTCTTTGAGAGCTGAGTTGGTGACTTAGCATTACATTGGGCTTCCTGGCACCACTATGGATAGAGACACAGATTACTTCAGTGTACTTTGTTTCAGGATTATACTGGAACTAGACTAGCATCAGTACCTAGGATAAGCAGTTTTAAGATGCTTATTATATTTCATGTTAAAATAATGTAATTTTTGTCTATTGCTCCTGGTTCAGTGAAAATATGTTAGCTGGTTTATGTTTTCATTTAAAATAGTATATTTAAGATTTAATATATTTAGATAGTTTATATATTATATATGTATTTAATATATTTAATATAATAGTATATTTAAGTCATTCCTTAAGCATAAACTTTAAAAAATTTTATTTAGAAGTGTCACACAGCTGGTATTTCACTTTAGTATATTCTTTGATTTTAAGCACTACTTACTTATTATGTTGCCACTGTAGATATGAGTTTAGTAAGGCAATGCACTAGTTCAAAGTCTTGAGCCTCTTGAGGACATGCCAGCACTAGGTGCCAAATTAGTATTGCCTCAAATTAGGCCATGCCACCAAGAATAAAGAAGGTAGTAATTAGAATAGGGAATTCTGATTTTTTAAAGATTTATTTTTAAGGGAAGAGTCTAATACTTTAAGTATTTTAAGTAGTGCTTTATAGGCATATGTGGATAGACTGCTGAACCTGAAGTCAGGAAGACCTGAGTCCAAATTCTGTCTCAGACACTTGTTATTCAACCTGAGGCAAATCACTTAACCTCTTGTTGCCTCTGTTTTCTCAACTTTCAAGTAAAGATAATTCTAGTAACTAACTCCCAGGATTGTTATGAGCATCAAAGGAGATAATATTTGTAAAGCATTTAGCACACTGCCTACCACATAGTAGGTGTTTAATAAATATTCTTTCCCTTCATTACCCCCTTAAAAGCTTATTTTGTACTATCATGTGCAGATGTATTTACACTCATACATTCATTATAAGTACGTAGTCTATCGGACATATAGGAGGTGAACAAACACTACTGATGTCATGGAAAAAAGGTAGGATTTTGTTTGTGTATACACACATATATCTTATGTATATGATTAAGATTGTTTTCCCCCAAAGAATCTGGTTTCACTGGGCCTTTTATTTAAAAAGAAATACTATAAGGCACTTCTCAGGACTTTGTTTTTCCACCTTCAATCTAGATTAATAATCACTCTTTTACGTCTTCAGCCTCTATTCCTTATCTAGGTGCTAGTTCTTGTCCTTTTGTATACAGTCTTTAGATTCTTACCGGTTTCCTACAAATTTTGTTAACTCAGTTTTGACAGATACCTTTCAAACAGAAAAGAGAAATATTAATAACATTAATAGAATTAATCTCTTTAGATTACTTTGCTTCTTTTATAAATTATAATAAAGTTATTTTAGTTTTATAATAGGTCTCTAAGTCTTTATTGGTTCACTAGCACAGCTTGGATTTTAGATTACCTTAAGCAATCATACCTTGCTCCTTAAGTCTTACGCCTTTCGGCAAGAGGAATTCAGCAAACACTAAACACCTAAGTGCAAGGAACTGTTCAGTGCTGGAGATGCAAAGATGAAAATGGGAGTCTGTTTCCTAAAAGGAACTTGTATTCTCTTGGGAAGTAGAGTGGATATAATATGCAGATACATAAGTAAAGTATAAGATACAGAATGCCAGACAAAGCATTGGAAGAGAATTTGAGGTGGGAAGGAGCTTTAGCAATTGTGTGAGGGCCAGAGGAGTTTGGGAAGGCTTTGTGGAGAAGGGTATTTCCTGACTAAGCATTTAAAAAAGATAAGGATCTTGAATGACTAAGATGAAGGAATGAATTCCAGGCTTTGGCAGAGACTTATGCTAATGCCTAAGCAGAGATTGGCATGTCATGGAACAGAAAGTAGTCTAATTTGATTGGAATGGAAAAAACTATGAAGAAAATCATCTTAAATTAGGCTGGAAAGGTAGGTTGGAGCCATATTTTGGAGTTCTTAAATTTTAAACTGAGGAGTTTGTGTTTTATTCTAGAAGCAAGAGGGAACACAGTAAGGTTTTATGATCAGAGTAGTAACGTGCTCAAATCTGTGCCTTAGGAAAATTATTTTAGTTGTATGGAGGATAGATGATAGATGAAGAGGAAATATGAAAACAGGGAGACCAATTAGAGGGCATATTGTGGTAAAGGCAAGTATCAATAAGAGAGTCTAGATTTTGATGGCTATGTGAGTAGAGGGGTTGGCTGTGAGCAGATTTATGGAGGTAGACTGGATAGCCTTGGCCAATGACTAGATAGGGACTTGAGGGACAGCATGGTATTCAGTGTATAGTTAATTCTTTTGCCTTTGTCAAAGGAAAATATTGGAGCTATTCCCATTTCCCTGATTATTTTGTGAAATAGGTCAGATATACTAGAAAAATAATAGGAGTTAATTAAACTGAGTGTTCTGGACTTAATTGCTAAACTAGATGGATATTTCTGATCTCTCCCCTCCTCCTTCTCCCCTAAGTGAAAGTGACTCTTTGGATTCAATTTTTCACAGAACTTTGGGTAGATCTTTCTTTTGCACTTATCCTAGTCTTCCTTTTTTCTTATTTGTGTATTTTTTTTTCCTTTCTTGGGTTAAACTCCTTAAAAGTAGGGCATGTGTTATATTTATTTTAGCATTCTCAGTAGAGGCAGTGAAATGGCAATGGATAGAACACTAGGCCTAGAGTCAGGAAG